AGGAGTGCTGACCATGTCGTGATACTCTGCTTAAAATCTAACAGCCTAAACCTATAAAATCAAGTGGTCAGTACGACGAACCACTTTCTTCGATGCCCTGTGTATTTTCTTCACCCGATTACACTTTTCTCTTTCTTTTTCTTGTTTTAACGAATTCTTAAACATTATATGAACACGCAAATGAGCTTACATCAGCGATTGATATTTCCTTTGTTTTGATGATCAGATACGCAGTCTTTTGATTAGTTATATTCAATTTGCTTTCGATGTAGCGTAAAATCACTCAAGGAAATTCCCTGCCAAAGACTGTGAGTGAGCGTTTATGTAAATTACTTTAATGACTATATTTATTTTTATTATTTTTTTTACAGCATAATGCAATCCAAACACAAATTAAAGCATTTATAGGTGTAGATGCATTTATATGTACTACATTTTCCCATAGTTTTGAACATGAATGAAAGTATAATATGATAAAAGCTTTTTTCACCATCATACATTTTTAATAAAGTTAATTATCTAAATTTATGATTACCACAAGATGAATAACTTATTTGCCAATACTAAACAACGTCCAATCTTCATGTATTTGTTGTCATTATCACTCGTCTGGATTTCCCTCGAAGTCTTGGGGTTAACATCCCTACATACGTAAAACTATGTGTGACATTACTATTTTTTTTGTTTGATGAGAGTGAAAAATCAGTAAGTAACGAGAATTATAATGTAAGCTTTTTGAAGACTGCAAATATATATATAACGGCTTAATTCGCTATCATAATTGTTTTTGATGAAGGTACGTAGATTCAATGATTGCCTAAAAATGATTGAAACCTATTTGACAGATCTTTATGCATTATTTATTCTAATTGGTTTACCTCTCATTAATATACATGGCCATTCTACCCTACGAGGAAACTTACTCAAAGGAAGATTAAGGGAGCAGTAATGAAAAACACATGAGTATGATAATGATTATTTAATCACATGTACAGTAGTTACATTTGAGTAATTGGAACTTCAATTTAAAAAAAGAACATGAAAAATAATCATCATGTGAATATACATAAAAAAACGTCATATGGAAATTTACAATAAAAAAATTCAATCACTGTATATAAATATCATCGTGAACCACAAAGGCAAATAAATTCAAAACGGGAAAATAAACACTGTCGTTACATTTCTTGAACTTATCATTTCTAACTTTTAATACATCGTCTTCAGTCAACAAGAGGTTTCAAAGCTAACTGCTCAAGTACCGTAGCTTCTATATGTACAATTTACTGAAGAGGTGTAGGCTTAGCAGGAACCTTTGAGACCACTGGCTTGTCATGATCAAATAAAAAGTTGACTTCACAGACATGAAGCTATGACATTATAATATATATATATATATATATATATATATATATATATATATATATATATATATATATATATATACATATATCCCCTCTCTAAAGACAGTGCTCACTTCTTTAAAAAAAAACACATAAATCTTGAGGGATGTCCAATAATAAGTTCAAGAAAAGACGGTGGATAGAGTCAATATTAAAGACTAATATCAAGGTCCTCCTTGAGGCGGAGCAGCGGCAAGGAGACGAGCCAGAAGAGCCACGAGCAGGGAGCCAAGCGCAGAGCCCCCACAGGTCTTCCTTCAAGCGTTCAAGGAGGAGTTGGGTTGGGACGGGTGGAGGAGGGAGCATCCGGTAGTCAGGATGCGAGAGATGGATCCACATGACAGGTGATGTTGCAGAGGGCAAGAGAAGGGCTGGTTGCAAAGGAGGTGATGGGGGGAGGGGGAGGTATCTGGGGTAGGAAAGAGCGAGTAGAGGGGTGGGGGTTGCGATGAAGCCCTTTCTCTAGGCTGGCTCTTGAAGACTCTCCCGGTTACTGCGACAGTGTATAACCCAAAGGCATCTTGTGGTCTGGGATGTACAGTGTCTTCAGTACGCAGAATCACGCTTGCACATACGTATACACACATAAACATAAACATGTACACATACGCTTGTCTTCGCATTCACTTAGATCAATTAAATGGTATTCGTCAGTTAAGTATGTACACTTCATCAACCAACCAATATGGCTGGCGAAAATGGGAGGTTATTCCCATTCAAACTTCAATTAAAAAAAAGTTAGTAATTAACACATGTCGGACACTGTACAGACGGATGTAATGTGGACCTTGATGAAAGTGTGTGTGGGGGGGGGGGGGGGGAGGAGAGAGAGGAAGTGATAAAATTAAACAGCAGAGAAAGACCGAAAACGGGATACATTAAAAAAAGGTCCTGAGGAGAATTTCAATACAAGAGAGAGAAAAAAAAAGGTAATCATCTCAACCGTACCACACATGTACCACGCCTGCGTCTACATTCACGGCAAGGCTCCGAAAATTTACATATTAAAATATCTGATAAGAAGAAGAAGAAAAAAAAACTATGAGTAAATGTACAAAATTGTGACCAGATCAGTGACTTTGAGCCGACAAACCTTAGTGTCATTCTTCATAAGACTCATTTTCCTATTTACAACACGCAGAAAATAATATCCGCTGAGTACTACCGTCCGGCTCAGAATAGCTGATAGGGTCACTGACATACAGACGCATTATATAAAATCCTAAACGTGTGTCTGGAGGGCAGCGGGGGGAGGGGGGAGAATAGAGAGTGATGGGGTAGGGGGGGGGACTCAGTATCATGATGCAACAATTTATAATCCATTAATAAAGGAAGGGGTGTATTCCTTAAGCACCTATACCCACATGCAAGTTCTTTCTGGTTCAAGTCAGTTTAATTTTCGTCGGGAAAATTAGACAGACGAGAAGTTAATAGCGAGAATAATAATATATGTATATTTATATATTTGCTCTTCTTCTCTCTCTTTTTTTTACTTCCGCTTCTTTTTTTCGAGTGATCAGAATATTAAAAAAAAAGAAGTCCGGATATAAACCCCCGAGCGAGAGTAAGGTCACAGAGAATCTGACAATAAAACAAAAGGCTTCGGGGAAACCTGTCTCGAAACACCGCTCGAGACGAAACGGATCGGCGAACATCCTCTTGAAAATGGCATTCTTCTTATTTATTCTTCTATATTCTTTTTTAAATTATTATTATTCCTTCTTGCATGACCTTTCTTGACCTCTAGTCCCACTCCCCCACGTACATGGCACGCGGATGGGGCGGGGGTGGGGGGAGGTAGCCCCGGTTTGGGAGTGGCAGCCGACCGTAGATGTGGGAGTAGGCAGATTCGGTGAAGTCAGAATCTGGAAAAAGAAGGAAAAACAAAAACAAATACGCGTTAGAAATTCGTGGAAGACATTCTGGGGAAACTAATTGGGTGTTTGGGAGTTTTCTGTTTTGTTTTGTTTTTAATTTTATTCTTTCATTATGTGTGATCTTACTCATTATAGTCTCTAGTTCTACATCTAGCAAAGGGGTTGCGGAAAATGGCTGTTCTATACAAGGCATTTACTGATCAATATCGTAAAGACTTTAAATTTCTTTGTCACTTTGCTAACAAGCCTAATCTTACTTTTTTCCACATCAATAACTAATTTGCATCTACTACAACAGTGAAGGTGACAAAACAACAATACACTCCTACAAATAATACAACAACAAAGAAAATAAATCGATCATATACAGGATGGTGGTGAAGGAGATACAGAATCTACCCACCACACCCTCAGCATGCGCATGCCATCCCACGCCCACAAGACATGCAGTTTCATGACGCCCTTAGTAGATGTCACCATGCATCTATGACAGTGTAATCTATGTGACTCTACTTTCTTTTCATAATCTACAGCAAGGTCTACATAAGCACAAAGGAAAGAGCGACAGGAGAAACGAAAGAATCGTAGTGTTTATTACTGCATGCATAACAGGGGGTCGTTAAAAAGAAAGGGAAATAAACAGAAAAGTAAAATCTATCTCATAAAGGTAAGTATATGTCTATATATATGAATATATAACATACATAATATATATAATACATATAATATATATAATATATATATATGTATGTATATACTTATATATAATATATATATATATATATATATATATATATATATATATATATATATATATGTATATATACATATGGATATATATACATGCACACATATATAAATAATTATATATATATATATATATATATATATATATATATATATATATATATATATGACGTACATATACATAAACCCTCTTAATATTTACAAGGAATTTCTGTTCACACTTGTTTTCCTGTCTACTTTACACAGAGAACGTTCCAAGGCTGACAGGAGTCGAGCTACCATGCACAGGTACCTCCATGCCTTCAGCAGTAAGAATAACATCCCTTCCATCCTTTGCCAAATTAAAAGGGGCTTCATTAAGCCTACATGTATGTATACACATTTCCTAAAGGCCAGCATCTCTATTTACTTGATTTTCTGAAGGAGGCAGTAATAATAGGCAATAACATAAGCGGATCCACAATGATTCTTTGTCCTATTTCTGTTATCCTCTCTATATAATGCATTGGGTGAAGGGAGAAGGGGATATTATATTTTCTTTATGATTTCACTTAAATCACAAGGGACTAGATTGTGGAGTGGAGGGACTATTGGGGAATAGATTCAGCCTGAAGTGCGCTATTTAACTATTTCATCACAAAAGAAACTTTTAAAAATGTCTTTGCCCCTCAGTCAGCTTTCATAGCGTGTTGGGGAAGACGCTTTATCTTGAACTCCTCAGCAATCTTTGATATTGGGTTTCCGGTATAGATTCTTTATCTAATTCTTCCTTCTTTCTGCCTATGACAGATTTAGTACCTCGGACTGACCAGAACATAGCTCTTAAAAAACACTTTTTTTCAATTTGTGTAGAGGGAGGGGGCGGGGTGTTGGTACATAAGTAAACAGAACATCCATACTGCAAACACAGTCTCATCACCGTGCCTATATATACGTATACAAGTGTGTATATATATATAGGATGGAAGGACCTTACCTAGAACAGAGCAAAGGTTGGTGCCCTTCTTACACGCTTCCACTGATTTTTTTTGATTTAGTCACACTTCATGAGTCCCAGTACGATTCCCATTCAGTTTCTAGGAAAGAGCGGAAGGTTTCGTTAAAAAAAGGAATAACGAACTTTTTCTTTTCAAATTTCGTTCAACTCGTCCACAGTGTCGCGTCGTCATGGTCGTTGGACATTGATTAGGTGGTTCTCAACATAACGAGTCGGTCAGTTGTTCGTAGGTTTGATCTTTCTAATATCGTTCTCATCCTTTATTCATCTTCTTCTGCTCTCTCTTGGAGTTCTTTGCTTATCTTGTCTACTGTCGTCTTTTGGCTTCGAGAATTTTGGTCCGTAAGTCCATGGGAAGGGGGGAGGGGGGTATCTCATACTAAGGTATGGGCTCGCCTTGTGTTCTATGGTTTTATAATAGAGTGGAAATAGCATATGTACGCATATATGCATATATATATATATATATATATATATATATATATATATATATATATATATATATATATATATACATATATATATATATATATATATATATATATATATATATATATATATATATTATATATATATATATATACATATATATATATATATATATACATATATATATATATATATATATATATATATATATATATATATATATATATACATAGGTATAGATATATATAAACATACACCCACACGTCTCATACGGTGTGATACAAAAATAAGGTCATACAACATAATATGCTATTTAAGCATTTATTCACACATCTATGCTTGTTCAAGTTCTTCACATTTGTTATGTTTCAATTACTTGATTTTGTTCTTACATTCCTTAGACATTGATCTTTACTGCAATTATTTACTAACATCAACAAGAAACGGTCTTTGGGTGTTCAGTCACACTTAAGCCGGGAACACAGAAATATACACACATACACATACTCACGCACGAACACACACATACATACATACATATATATATATATAACATTTAAGATCATCGGATAGTGAAGTGTTACTAGTCTAAAGCTTTAAAAGTATATGATTAATAGTTATGGATTTTTTTTTATTAATAGTGATTAAAATTTAAATAGTCAAGCAATAGAGACTTAGATGTGAAAGCTACTATGAGTGTGTGTGTGTGTGTGTGTGTGTGTGTGTGTGTGTGTGTGTGTGTGTGTGTGTGTGTGTGTGTGTGTGTGTGAATTAATTACATGCTTTCACTGTAATTACATATACGCCTATGTATGCATGTATAACACTTATATATGTATGTGGGTGTGACTATATTGCAAGAATCGAAATATTACCGCCTGTATATGCGTATGTATGCATGTATGTATGTATGTGGGTGTGACTATATTGCAAGAATCGAAATATTACCGTCTGTATATGCGTATGTATGCATGTATGTACGTATATATACCTATACAAGTGTCTTATAACTATAGTCACATACAAGTTAGCATACAAAACAGGGACTTTCACCTATCATATCTAAATAAATAGTTTGTCTAACAAAGGATGGGACAGCGGCAAAGGAGAAATATGCAAGTAATAATAATAATAATAATGATAAATAAAAATTTGGTCATTAAAAGTCCAGAGCGTCATCGCATGCAAACACGTAGTCATTTGAAAGATTAAACATTAAAATTCTACAAGAAAGGAAGAACTGGCAACTCTAACACTGCTAAGTGCCAATGCGTGCTTTAAAAAAAAAGTCTTAATTCATGCTAGCATTGATTTTGCTTGAGGAAATGCTTCTTTCCATTAAGTATCAAGAAGACATGCACAGGTTGAGTGAATTGACTCAAGGTTAATTCCTGGCACTGATTATTTTTGTTTTTTTTTCTTTTTTTCATGTACTTTAAGAAACACATGTCATGAATACTATTCTGCATTTCCAGTATGCATGAGAACTGAATAAAATCAACGTCGCTAAAAAAAAAAAATTATCACGTGAAAACGCATTAACAATGAAAACAAATAAGACAAGGAAAGGAAAAAAGGTGATATGACAGACTTAACCGAGAAGTGACATCATGAATGACATTCTTAACGGTTTTCACGTAACAATCTCCCTCCAAAAATCATGAATAACAGCGTGAAAAAAACAACACACAAATATTTTCCATGATGACATCAGACATTGAACAAAATAAATAATACATTAGTAGTGGCAGAAGAAAGACATGGTACAATATAAATATAAGTTTTTAAGCCTAAACTTTTCTAAAACTCACCATTTCTTCCAGGCAAAGTAGGTACCCACGAGCAGGGGTTGCGTTCTAGTCTGTGAATATTTTGCACTTGGTTGTGTTGCAAAAGAGCTAGAAGAGACAAAAAGAGAAAAAAATACACATGCTTAGAAAAGGGTGTAGAGTGGGAGAGAATAACTGGGTGCTGGTGCATAAGCGCCGTGCTTTTCATTTACATTACCCGTTTTCTTTTTATAATTAACCCTTTTTTTCTTCTTCATTTTCTCTTTTTTTAAGCCCCATAGAAAAGGTGATATGACAGACTTAACCGAGAAGTGACATCATGAATGACATTCTTAACGGTTTTCACGTGACAATCTCCCTCCAAAAATCATGAATAACAGCGTGAAAAAAACAACACACAAATATTTTCCATGATGACATCAGACATTGAACAAAATAAATAATACATTAGTAGTGGCAGAAGAAAGACATGGTACAATATAAATATAAGTTTTTAAGCCTAAACTTTTCTAAAACTCACCATTTCTTCCAGGCAAAGTAGGTACCCACGAGCAGGGGTTGCGTTCTAGTCTGTGAATATTTTGCACTTGGTTGTGTTGCAAAAGAGCTAGAAGAGACAAAAAGAGAAAAAAATACACATGCTTAGAAAAGGGTGTAGAGTGGGAGAGAATAACTGGGTGCTGGTGCATAAGCGCCGTGCTTTTCATTTACATTACCCGTTTTCTTTTTATAATTAACCCTTTTTTTCTTCTTCATTTTCTCTTTTTTTAAGCCCCGACACATTTCTTTTTAATGAGCTTCTACGTGTACTAACCCATTATCCATAAAAATAAGTATATAGAGAGAAAAACCCTCTTTCAGCTCTTGTGAGGAATTGGGAATTTAATTATGATTCGGACACCGTAAGTATAGAATTTTTTAAAACTTTGAGTATACTCTTCATTTTTAATTTTCAAAAAGTTTACGTAAAAAAAAAAAACTCACGATGTCCGCATTCTGTTATGTGTAAAGGTTGTGCGCGCATTTATCGTACACGTCATATAGTCATACATTAATGACTAAAATCCGTGTGCCTCAAATAAGAATTATAAAAAAGAAATCTAGTTCAAATTTTCATAATTAGGTTCAAAGAGCACTTAAAGCAAATATTAAAATATATGCGTTTTTTTACGTTTTTTTTTCTGACACACAAACCTTCACACACTGAAAACCTTAAAATACAATATAATGTGTAGAATGCATCAAAGAACGACATAATTATATCTAACTACAATCCATTTCGTAATATCTTTTTCCCTTTGACGAATAAAAAGAAATGGATCTTATATCGCTCTTGTGATACACTCAGCTCTCTGGAATGACTTACACAGAAGGTCAAAGGCGTTTTAAATACACATTCTCAGACATTAAGAATGTTGTATGTTTGGTTCTGTGATTTTCGGATGACGTTTCATGCTATAAACACTCAAAATAGAAGTTTGATTTTTGTTTTGTTTTTTGTTTTTTTCGTTACTGATTTTTTTGTGTGTTTATTTATATGCCAATTATTTTTTTTGTGAGGGACACTCGTAAGGCATTCTCAGAGAGCAGCATTGTCTACCGTGATGTACAGTACTAAGCCATTAAGCATAACGTGATAAAAAAGTGATGTGCACTCTACACTAAACACAGCAAGGGTACATCGAGGCACAAGCACACAGCAGCCATATTGCACTTATTGCAGTCGAAGATAAAAATTAATTCTAAAATTTTCTTGGAGCACAAAAGACACAAATGAAAATACACTTACAAAAAATGAACACGCAAAATGGCTGGTATGCGTTTCTTAAAAAAGACATAAACGACTTTAAGGGAAACAGGTTTGTTGTTTTTTGTATGGGTAGTATTTGAGAGGTTCTGTGAATGTGCAGGTGACAGCTGTCATGCAGTCATGGAGTCATGCAGTCCAGGGGGGGCAAGGCAACCACAAGGACCCGCAAAGTCCGCCCACCAAAGTCCTTTTAATAAGCCATGAGAAAAAAAAATTCTTCAGTATCCCCTCTTGGTCAAGCTAAACGAAAAAGCGAAAGTTGGTCGGAATATAGAAACAGAGAGAGAGAGATTTTTTCAAGCTTAACGTTTACTTAACTGTCATTACTTTTGGAAATTCGCTCGTCTGTTGCAGTTGTCATGATCACCAGAAAGAAAGCAGGAAAGGCGGAGCGGGAGGAGGCGGAGGGGGGAAAAAAAGAGAAGATAAATACAAGAAATGAGAGAGGAAGCCGAGTTTCTTCCTCCGTGTTGTTTTATCCTCTTTTTTTATCATATATATTTATAATTTTCCTCCTCGCTACCCCAGCCTCTAGAACAAAAAGGGAGAAGATCCTTCCGAAGAAAAGAAAACTTCCTTAGTACCATAGACTACCTGGAAGAAGAAAAATAATAATCATCATCATCATCATCTGCAGTCGCCATGACGAAGCAAAATTAGTGTCTCTTGTGTCTGTCTCTTTCTTCCCCCCCCCCCCCAAAAAAAAAAAATGTCTTAGAAGAAAAAAAAATTAGTAGAAGTCTCTCTATCTCCTTCCAGGTAGGCAGTCTCAATCTCCTTATCTCTTATCATCTCTCATCTCCTTTATCTCTTAAACCGTCCATCCTGTGATCGTGGAAATGGTCTCGGTCTTACCGTGTCTCTCCGTCTAGTGGTGCCGACGGGCGTCTTAAGGTCTCGCTGTACACCTTCCAAGGAGTAGGATGCAGGGGGGGAAGTGGAGGTGGTCTGACTGTCGTGGGAAGTGGTGGGAGGGGCCGGAGGGGGGAAGGGGAGTCAGGGGGGTATAGGGGAAGGAGGGCTAGAGGAAGGGGAGTGTAGGGGGGAGAGGGGGGGGAAGGGTGGTTGGGAAATTGGGCAAAACGGGGACATGTTGAATTAGATTTTGCAAATGCAGGAACAGGTGGAATGAAGTGGAGTTGCAGTGAGATGATAGCCACAAATGAGTTCGTTTGTTCGTCCAGAGGATACTAGCCTGAGTGGAATGCTGAAAGAGAAGGGGGGGAAGAGAGAGAGAGAATGAAAATAGAGAGAGAGAGAATGAAAATAAAAAAGAGAGAGAGAGAATGAAAATGAAAAAGAGAGAGAGAGAATGAGAGAGAGAGAGAATGAGAGAGAGAGAGAGAATGAGAGAGAGAGAGAGAATGAGAGAGAGAATGAGAGAGAGAGAGAATGAGAGAGAGAGAGAATGTGAGAGAGAGAGAATGAGAGAGAGAGAGAGAGAGAGAGAGAGAGAGAGAGAGAGAGAGAGAGAGAGAGAGAGAGAGAGAGAGAGAGAGAGAGAGAGAGAGAGAGAATAGACAAACAGAAATTCAAAAAGCAAAGGTAGGCACTGACCAACGACCCCCAAAAATACTACTAGGGGCAAGATGCACAAAGAACGACATTGTGCGAATGAGAACAAACAAGAAACTCAAATAAAACTAATAACTAAACCCCTGCGTTCTGGAAGTCCATTGAAAAGACTTCCTCTACTCGCTGTCATAGGCATTAGGGCTGACGTCTCCCCCGGCAGGGTTGACAAAGGCAGGCAGGGACATGGGAGACTGTGACAGGTGGGGCAGTGCCGGCTTGGGGAGCCATCGCGGCAGGGGGGAGGGTCCCGACAGTGCCAGGTGAGAGGAGGGCGAAGAGGGCAGAGACGAGGGGGCAGACAAGGTGTAGAGGTAAGATCGTCGGTCGTGGTACAAGTCTTGTTGACGTCGCTGGTGTTGGTGGTGGTGTTGTTGGTGGTCTTGTAGGCGGCGAGGAGATTGGTGGCGACGGTGGTGGTGGTGGTGATGGTGATGGAAGCCGTGGCGGTGAGTGAGCATATGCTGCGTGTGGGGAGAGAAAGAGGGCGAGGAGGAATACAGGGGCTCTCCTCCAGCGTGGGCGAGAGGAGGCAAAGTGGCCGTGGCGGAAGGGGAGGAGGAGGAGGAGATGAGAGGGGAAGAAAGAGTAGCGAAGGAAGAGGAAGAAGGAGTGTCGATGGCGGTGGCGGGGAAGGGAGAGGAGGAGGAGGAGGAGGTCTTACCCATGCCCGAATCGAAGCTCCGAGTGTGCCACATGGGGTGGGCAGGAACGGGGGGTGGGTACTGGGCACGAACCACATCCTGCTTATCCTTCGACTTCGGCTTGGCAAAGTTGGGGATGCGGGCTCTCAAACCGCAGTAGTATGGGTCGTCTGCGGAGATAAAACGAGTGAGAAAGAGGGCGGCTTAGCATCACCATTCTGTAGGGGGGGGGGGGAGATCTAGCGGCCTTTGTTATTCAGATTTCGTGGAAAGAAGACGAAGAATTGCTGGTATTTATTTGCATTATTTTGTTATCTCTTTCAGTAATATTACCTTTCCTGTGGAATTAGAATTTCAATCATTATAGATGCTATTACTATGGCTGTAGAAAAAATGAAGCATTAAGGTTATTGCTTATTATTAATTGAGATAATAAAAATACCATCAATTTCAGTAATTCCCCAAAAAACAAAAACAAGTGGAAGACATCACGGGGGAGGGAAGGTGCGTGTATGTGGAGGGGGGTGGGGGGGGGAATAGAGCAGTTTACCTTGAACAAAGTGAAATGACTGATGATGTGGGGGGGGGGGTGAAGGTACCGTACAATATGAATAATTTAATGATGTTCGTGTGTGAACCGGAAGGCAGGCGAAAAGGGAAAGGGGAAAGGGTAAGGGGGGGGAGGGGAATGGCGTGAGGAGAGAGACTATGGGATGTTAAAAATAGCCTGTCATAAGCATATGCAAATTAAAACTCGTACTTAACCAATTAATGCCCATTGTCCTGTCAGATCGATTGAAAAATGGCATATATCCTTCTTTATCGTTTTGGACCATAAATAATGGATAATGTTTAAGTAAATAATATACTGATGAGCTTACTAATAGTAATCATAATGATTACAATCATACATGTTCCTAATATTTTCTGAAATTAAACCCGACTCAGCAAATGCGAATAATTCAAACTGGAACTTTATGATGTAATGTAATTTAGAATGCAACAGACATGTCGCATTAAAATACAAATAACGAAACATGATAACTGAGCTTAAAAGATATGCAAAACAATCCGTTATAAAGTATGTATATATTATTTTTAATTGGCAGGACGGTTGAAGGAAAAGATGCTTAACTTTGCTATTTACTTTCATTGGCATAAAAATTCAAAGATGTTTAATTTTGTTATCTGACTTTCACTGGCATCGGTTTTATGCTTAATTTTGCCATTTCATTCTCGAAAAGACTATTCGTACCTCACAGTAGCTTTCATGAGGAAAAAAGGTGACGTAATGCAACAATAAAGACAATGTATTAAAACAAATAGTGTTACACCAGTCTGTTATAATAAATCCTAAGAGACGTTACATCACCCAACGCTCTTGAATGCCTTTAAATAACATCCGAGACAATCTGTTAACAGAGATAAAACCTCCCACATTAAAACCAACACCAAGCAATCTCCCACTAAATAACACAGATAAAATACACCCCCCCAAGAAAAAAAAATGATAATAATAATAATAATAAATAATAAAAAATAAATAAATAAAAATATTAAAAAAAGAATTCCCTCTCATCTTTCTCTCAAAATCCTCCTCACGCAAACGCCTAGAAAGAACGATAAAAAGTGAAATAAAGACTACTGCCTTTTCCGCTGCTTGAGTCCCAGGCAGCTGCATCAACGTACCATACTTGCGGTCCTGGGATCTGTTGTTGTTGTTGTTGTTGTTATTGTTGCGAGACTGCAGCTTGCGGAAGGCGTTCTCATCCAGGGCGTCGGACTGGAAGAAAATGGTTAGATTATCGTCTTTTGAAGAGATTATTGGAGTAGTTTTTGAAGAGATTACTAGATTCCTATTTTTTGAAGAGAATGTCATATTTTGAAGAGCTTATTCGATTATCATATTTAATAATACATGCTAATTAGGAAGGTAAAACTAAAGATAATAGACATTGTTCAGTATTTGGTCAAGTTCATAAGAATCTGAAAATCACGTTCATAAAGTGCAAATATACGTCTAGAAGAGAATGATATACAAACAATAGGATAGGATTAACGATAAATTAACAAAACCAAAGTGAGATATCTGAACAACAGAAATACATAGCAATCGACCATTCAAACATAATAAATATTCGACTTCGTATGTAGTCCCCCCTTAAAAAGAACCTGAAGGAGGTAAACCACAACAGAAAACGAGAGGTCACGAGCTACCCCTGCTATTTTCAGGACTTTTTTTTCCTCACCTTGCCGTTGGGTCGAGGGCCAGGGACGGGGTGATTGGGGGAGTCCCTTGGGGGTAGCTTGGGTGGTTTGTCCTTGCCAGTTCGGTCCTTGCCTGAGGATCCTGAGGAAGCACCGGATCCTCCTGCCACGCTGTAGGGATCTTCGTCAGGAATGGGAATGCGCGGGCGGTTCCTGATATTTGGCAGGACCCTCACTGTGGGAGAAAATATTGGGTTTATGGTTTTGTTTGGGGGGATTTTTTTTTTTTTTTTTTGAGGGGGGGTAATTTTGGTCTTCGGTATTTGTTACATGTATTGTATCCGGCTGATGCTTATAAAGGATCAAGCAATTTACGCAAGTATTAGAGAATAATGCTTGTTTGTTCTCTCTCTCTCTCTCTCTCTCTCTCTCTCTCTCTCTCTCTCTCTCTCTCTCTCTCTCTCTCTCTCTCACCCCTTACCCTTTTCCCCAACCCATCTACCACACCCCTACCCTCCCCACTACCCTCCCCAACCCCTCTTCCCCACACCTCCCCTTTCCCCTCCCCTCCCTACAACCCTCCCCCCTCCCCTCCCCACAACACCCACCCACCCCCTACACTCACCTGGAGGCAGCTTAGACTTGAGCATATCCATGGCGACGATGTTGATGATCATGACCCAGATCGGGCAGTCCAAGATGTCCTGCTCATTCTTGACGAAGGCGATGAGGCACACGCACTGGGTCTCGAGCTTGGAGCGGTCCGGGTACTGGCGGCGCATCTCGCGTTTGACGTTCTGCTGGAATTTGTTCATGTCGAAGAGCTGTTGGGAGAGAGAAAGGAGGAGAGAGGAAGGGGGTGAGATTAGGCTGGCGGAATGCTGGGTTGTGGTGATTGGTGGGGGGGGGGGAGTGTTGGTGGAGGTGGTTGGTGTTGGTGGTTAGTGGAGGTGGTGGGCGGTGGTGATGGCGGTGGAGATTGTTGGTGGAGGTGGTTGGTGTTGGTGTTAGTGGTTGTGGGTGGGGTGGGGTGGTGGTGTAGTGATTGTGATGATGATGGTGGTGTTGTGCGGTGTGGTGTGGTGGTGGTGGTGTGGTATGGCGTGGAGGAGGTGGTGGTGGTGGTGGCACTACTGCTAATAATAACAACAATGAAAACGATAAAAATAACAATCACAATATCACAATAACAACAATCACCAACGCTAAACACAACCCCACAAAACATCAACACCTACCCTCTACCCTCTACCCCCCTCCTCTCCCCTCCCCCCTTACTTACTTACCAACCTATTCCCCAACACAACAGCCCAAAACAACCCCAAACAACCACCCACATAACGAGACAACAGGCCCTTACCATAACAGGCTTTTCGTTCTCCAAGCCGAGGTTAGGCAGCCTTAGAATGTCGTTACTGATGGCGTTGTCGTCGCTCGTCATCTTCACGTAAACGCCTGCCTTGGACACGCGCTTGATCAGGATGTTGCCTTGGTCGTCCATCTTCACTTTCACGCCCTGGGGATGGAAGGGGGGAGGGTGAGAATGGGGGTGGAAGGAAGGAGGGAGGGAGGGTGAGAGTGGGATGGAAGGAGGGAAGGAGGGAAGGGAGGAGGTGAGAATGGAGGGGGAAGGAGGGAGGGAGGTGAGAATGAAGGCGGACGGAAGGGAGGGAGGGTGAGAATGGGGGGGGGAGGAGGGAGGGAGGTGAGAATGGGGGGATGGAAGGAGGGAGGTGAGAATGGGGGGGAAAGGGGGTTGGGGGATTAGGTGTAGAGAGGATGTTGGGGGTAGATGAAAAGAGTAGAAGATGGAAGGGGTAGAGATGGTTTAGATAGGGGGGAGGAGGAAGAGAGAGGAGGGAGTAGGGATAAGATAGGGAGGGAAGATGTAATGGGAGAAAGAAAGAATAAGCGAAAGGGGAGGAGTGGAATGAGAGAAAAGCGATAGAAGGGGAGGAGAAAATGAGGGAGGGAAAGAGAGAGGAACAGACAAAAAGACAGAAAGAAAATTAAACAAACAAAAAACAAAAAACAAAAGAAAAGAAACGAAAACGAAGAAAAAACAAAATCCCAAGAACAAGAAAAAAATAACACTTAAACGAGCCTACTTTACATGCGCAACGTCACCCTTAGCACTGCGCGACTTATAAGTTCACTTCACAGGCTATAACTAGCTCTAAGGTAAGGACAAGATCATCCACTGGTGCTCAAGGTTCGCTAAAGTTCAGTCTATGAATACGAATACTGAATCAGAGATAGCAAGTTAATATCATATCCAATATTGGCACGCAAGGACGGTAAGATATGCACGAAAGTTAATCAACAACTGTTCATGTATCTGTTTGCATATGTTTATATATTTGTAACGTCCTTTTCGTGCAACATTAACATTTAATGATATCAGTTTCTTAATTTTCTGTTTATATTCATTTTACATATATACCTTGTTTTTTTTTCTCATATAAATTAATTCATATTGATATATTCAAACAGCTGTCTCTCTAAATACCTTGCGACCTATCAATATATCAAGTTATCTCTATCTATCTATCGCTATATCAAGCTATCTCTCCATTTTCCTATTTATATATCTATCTATCTATCTATCCATCTATCTATCGATATATCAAGCTATCTCTCTATTTTCCTATTTATCTATCTATCTATCCATCTATCTATATAAACACACACAACTAAACATAAATACTTACATGGCCAATGTGTCTCTTGATTTCATCTGTCCTTGGATCTCTCATGGGATTTTCGAAGCCACAAAGTCCAATCCTGAAAGACACAGTTGGATGTTAGTTTCATCCTATTCTGTAATGCCCTCTGCAGAGTACGGTCAATGTGGATATCTGTTTTGTTGTTCTGGACGAAAGAATTGGATATATCTTTAGTTTTTCATTTTCGTTTTGAATTGCAAAATGGTTTATCCTCGTTTATCCTGGAGTTAAAGGTTCATAGTTTTGAAGAGAAAATGTCCTGTAATATATTGTTCCTGAAAGTCGAGAGGATATAATCAGCTTATCCAATTATAAGATTACTCTAAGAAAACACAAACTACGATCGAATATTAAAATAAATACGATCGAATATCTAAAAAAGAAAGGCAAATAGCATCGGCTTCTTATCCCTCAATATAAACCCTTTTGAAACAAGCTTGGATTACGAAGAAAAAAAAACTTGTAAAATTATCCATTCTACAGTCTCCATTCTCTCATTCTTTAAAAACAATTTTGAGAAACCCAACGCGTTCCTTTAAAATAATCTTGAAAACTCATGCAACTACAGATACATCAGGACGCTTACCTCACCCGACAATAGGTTATGCAAATCACGTGGCAAGAGTAATTTATATGCAAAATTATGCAATGTATTACTGATATGGTGCATTATGTTGCATCCTGTTGCCTGATGATAGGAACAGCTACATCCTGCCGGGAATCTTTTTTCTATTTTTCTTGTTTATATCTCTTACTCTCTCCACGTATGTGTGTTTGTACGTGTGTGTATGTATGCGCATGAATGTACTTATATGATTATGGATGTAGGGGCAAATATGCATAATTGTGTGTGTATGTTTCAATCCATGTTATGTATGTATGTGTGTGTGTGTGTGTGTGTGTGTGTGTGTGTGTGTGTGTGTGTGTGTGTGTGTGTGTGTGTGTGTGCATACATACATACATACATTTATATATACATATACATGCACATGCACATACACACACACACATACACACACACACACACACGTAAATCCATACTTCCCTACCTACCCACCCCACCCCACCCTTTCCTCCAGCCCCCCCCACCCCGGCAGCCCCCCCCCTCTTCCCCTAGCAGCAGCTCCCCCCCCCCTCACCTGTATCCATCGAAGCCATCATCGGAGCCGTTGACGGTGAGGACGGGCGCGCGGGCGTAGGCCTTCGCGACGCGGCGGTTGCGCTCCAGGACGATCACCTTGGACCAGATCTCGTCGTCGATTTGCTCCCACTTCATCAGCACTTCCTGAATGTGCTCCTGTTCAGGGGGAGAGAGAGGAGAGGGTGTGAGTTTTGGGGGGGGTGATAATACCTTGGGGGGGGGGAGGGGGGAGGGAGGAGAGGGTGTGAGTTTTTTGGGGGATGATAATACCTTGGGGGGGGGGGAGAAGCGGGTGTGAGTTTTTTGGGGGATAATACCTTGGGGGGGGGGGAGAGGGTGTGAGTTTGGGGGTATAATAATACCAATGGGGGGGAAGGGGGAAGGGGGTATATGTTTTGGGGGATAATACGAATGGGGGGGGGGAGGGAGAAGGGGGTATGAGTTTTGGGGGGATAATAATACCAATGGGGGAGGGGGAGAAGGGGGTATACGTTTGGGGGGATACTACCAAGGTTGGTAATTATGAGACATGACAATTGTAAAAGATTTAGAAAAAAATATAAATAAACATTCAGTAAAAGACCAATTCATGTAGACATATTACTATTCATCTCATATGAAAGTATCAAGACTCTACACACATGATACATGATACAGCTCTCAATGTCAAATTCCATCAACACAAAATTATCACATAAGAAAATGAATCACCAGTATATCCTTCTTTCTTTTAATTGTTAATTAATAACAATTCATATTTAACTGTTGGTTTAACTCCCAAAGACCATTCTTTAATAGCCATACGTAGAACTTCACATCTAAGACTTTAAATAAACCGAGGCCACCCTGCTACTGCGGCCGCTAGCAACTAGAGATTTTTGACCTCAATAAAAAGGCAAGTAAAAAAGGAGTAAAGGAGAGAGAGAGAGAGAGAGAGAGAGGACACACAAAAAAATTGCAATCTTAAAATGCCATTTTAACTCGATAAAATCTCCTGAATTTTAGCATATCAATTCGATGACCCTCCTTATACATGCTTATAAATGTACTGCGGAACTTTAAACGGCTTTGTTGTTTGTAAGAAGTCGTAGTACAATGGCATATGAAAATTCCTTCGAATGAAAATTAGCATTTGCTGTAGCTGGACTTGTTGCGCGTCGACGGTGTACGATAATCACCAGATACCTCCAAACACTGCACCCTCGGTTATTCCCTTCTCTTATTTCTCTCTCGCCGACACTTACACGATTACACATCTCATCTTCATAGAGAGAATGAATCCTCCCTATGCAAATGATATTTAGAAGAAAAAAAAAAAACGAGTAAGAACGAGTGAATATTATTAGTGAAAGTGGCCGAGAACACGTTTTAAAAAGGCGTTGCCAGCGGCCTCCAGACGGGCAACATATCGACGCAACCTTGGCAAAGATTGCATTGCATCGGACATTAAATTATTTCGGCGTTGCAATGTCTTAATACCAAGCGCGACATATGAAGACGGCGGCCTCATGGCATGTGCTGAGGAGGAACTACGCTATCTGTTGAAGAACTCGGCTTAACTTTTTTAGGATCTCGTATTAATGTCATCATTGTTATTGTTATTATCATTATTATCATTATTAGTATTATTATCATAACAATAATTGTATTAATAATTATAATATTATCATCATCGTCATCATCATAAGCATACCGATTTTATGATGAGGGTAACAGTAACAATATCATTGCAACACCAATTACAATTATAACAATGCCAGAATGAAAAAATGGTAATGATAGCCAATTCATCACAGAAACAAGTAGATAGAAAAGTACAAAACACAAACCCATATACCACACACACACACAGAAAGAGAAAGAGAGAGAGAGAGAGAGAGAGAGAGAGAGAGAGAGAGAGAGAGAGAGAGAGAGAGAGAGAGAGAGAGAGAGAGAGAGAGAGAGGGAGGGAGAGATAGAGAGTGAGAGTGAGAGAGAGAGAGAGAGAGAGAGAGAGAGAGAGAGAGAGAGAGAGAGAGAGAGAGAGAGAGAGAGAGAGAGAGAGAGAGAGAGAGAGAGAGAGAGAGACAGAGACAGAGAGAGACAGAGAGAGACAGAGAGAAAGTCAGAGAAACACAGAGAAAAAAATAAATAAAATAAAATAGAGAGAAAACGATAGGCCACAAATCAACAGCCTTGGCAACGAAAGTCTCCCTCACACTTTTTTATACACGCAAGCAAGAGCACCGTGTTCAGTGTACCTGCGGCCTGACCTATCTACACTGTCAAGGCATACAGGTCCCCCTAACAAGGATGGTGCCGGAGACGAGGATGGTGAGGGCGATGGTGTGATGGTGAGAGGGGGAGGGGGAGGGGGAGGGGGGAGGTATTGGGATGTGGGGCTTGAATTTTGTTATGGTTGTTTGTTAGCTTGTTTGAATTGATTGTGGTGGTGGTTGTGATGATGATTATGATGATGATAATGTTTATGGTGAAGCTGATTATTATTTCGGTTATTATAATAATAATAATTATTATTATTATAATAATTATTATTATTATGATGATGATGATGATGACGATGGTGAGGGTGAAAGTGATGATGATGATGGTGAAGATGAAGATGATAATGATGGTTATGCTGAAGATGAAGATGATAATAATAGCAAAAATAGTAGCAACTATGACTTGCAAAACAAACCAAACTCTTCACTCAAGTAGCCAGCATTTCTCGTGACACGCACTGCGTCAAGTCGCAATCGCTACTCTTCTGAAACCCCTTATTTCGTCATTGATTTCTTCGAGAATTCGGTTGCGAGGGAAGACGGGACGAAATGATGATAATAATAATCTCTCTCATTCTCATTCTCTCTCTTCTTTTTTGTCTCCTTTCCAAAATTAAATGAACGCTTGCGTGCGTGCGTGCGTATGAGCAAGGTCAGTGCGTGATTCCATCGAAAAGGTCAAGCTAGTATCGTTAATTAACCTTTCTGGACAAGGATTTTTTTTTGTCATTTTTCTTTCTTCCTCATTTTAATTTTTTTTTCTTTTCTTTTTACTGTCATTTCTTTTTCCTTCCTCTTCGAGTATTTATTTTTATTTTCATTGTTTTAAAAATCTTCGTTGGAAATTTCCTTTAAAAAAAATCAGATCTAATTATGTGATATAAATTTTGAATAATTTGCTGTGATCAAATCCCGGATGCAGGCAGACCAATATTGCTTCAAAAAATGAAAAACAATCAAGTCCATTTATTTTTCCAAAATAAAAAAATATTGTTTCGTGCAGGGTTCGCGTCGGTGAAAGTGAAATGACGGAATCGGACACTTGTCACGTGACTAGCGAAGAGGGAATAGACGAAGAATGTGGGAGTTTATGCATACGTTGATTTCTCCACTTCTGTTTGTCATACACACACGTGCAAACATGCACACACACGCACTAATGTATGTATGTGTGTGTGTGTGTGTGTGTGTGTGTGTGTGTGTGTGTGTGTGTGTGTGTGTGTGTGTGTGTGTGTGTGTGTGTGTGTGTGTGTGCGTGTTTGTGTGAGTGTATAAATGTATGTATGTATATATATGCATGTATATATGTTTGTATATATATATATATATAAATATATATATATATATATATATATATATATATATATATATATATATATATGCATTCATATAAACATATACGTACATATATACATATATAAACACATACATACAGAGAGAGAGAGAGAGAGAGAGAGAGAGAGAGAGAGAGAGAGAGAGAGAGAGAGAGAGAGAGAGAGAGAGAGAGAGAGAGAGAGAGAGAGAGAGAGAGAGAGAGAGAGAGAGAGAGAGAGAGAGACGGCGACGTGCAGGCCAGACTTAGGTTAGGAGGGCGAAGAAGGTCCAAGTGTGGGCGTTTGGGCGTGATTGCGTGGGCGCGGGCGGTGAGGGGGACGTTGCTTTGGGTGATGAGTCACTAAAACAGGGCGGGCGGTCTGGCACCCCTACCCCCAACCCCCTACCCCTCCCTTATTCCTTCTTTCTTCACCCTTTCCTCTTTCTCTCGTTTATCTATCCTCTCCTCCTCAATATTTCTTCCCTCCCTTCTTCCCTCTCCTCTTTATCCACCACCCCCTCTCTCTCTCTCCCTCTTCCTCCTAATCTGTATCCACCCCCATTCCTCTCCCCCCTCTGTATCCACCCCCATTCCTCCCCCCCCCCTCCTCTACCCTGTGTACCCCCCATTCTTCCCTCCCCCTCCCCTCTTCCCTCCCCCCTCCCCTCTTCCCTTCCCCCCCTCTGTAATCACCCCCATCCCCCCCCTCCCTCCTTCCCCGGCCCCTTCCCACCCACCCGCCCACCCCCAACATCTGTACAGACGCCCCGCCAACGACATCTGTTCTGTCTGGCGCCCACAAGACAAGATTAAAAGCCGCCCATGTCTTTGCAATACATTTTTTTTTCTCCTCACTGATGAAAGAAAAAAAAATTGATAACCGATAAATAAAAATCAGTCTATTCAGTATTTTTTTTTGTGGGGGAGGGGAGAGGGGGGGGAGGGGGGGAGAGGTGTGGAGGGGGTTGGGGGATGTGAGGGGGGGAGAGGCAGGGATACTTCTTCATCTTCTTCTTCTTCTCCTTCTTTTGTCATTATCTTCTTTTCGCTTGTTCTTCCTTTCATTATCTGTCACTAGGGCCTCACCCGATCTTTTTATGTCCCGTCTCTTTCAGCAGGACATAATGACATTTCCCGCCTTTTCTTCCACATTTCGTCAACAGCTGTTTGTTTGCGTGCGTGGGCGGCAGACGTTGCAAGGTCACGCCCACCTCGGACACGGCGCCCACTCGACCCCCGGGGAAACGCCCCTCGCCTACCCATCATCGTGTCTGTTGGTGTCTCGCCTCTTTGTCTGCCTGTGTCTTTCTCTCTCCGTCTCGCTCCCTCTCCCTCCTTCCTCATTTCCCCCCCTCCCTCTCTCTCTCCCTTATTCCTCTTCTTTCCCCCTCCCTCTCCCTCTCCCTTATTCCTCTCTCTCTCCCTTATTCCTCCTCTTTCCCCCTCCCTCTCCTTCTCCCATTATTCCTCTTCTTTCCCCCACCTTCTCCCTCTTTCACCCTCCCTCTCCCTCTCCCTCTTTTTTTTCTCTCTCTCCCTCTCTTCCACTCCTATCTTCAAAGGAAATTGTCTATCAC